CAGGAGGTACATGCATTTGAAATAATAGTGCACAAGTAACTTCCAATAGATGTCGNTCATGCAAGAATGCATTCTTGATATCTAATTGAAACAGAGGCCAATCAAGATTAGCAGCCAAAGAAATTAAAACACAAACAGACGTGATCTTGGCAATAGGAGAAAATGTCTCTACATAATCAACCCCATATGTTTAAGTAAAACCCTTAGCAACAAGTCGAACTTTGAAACGCTCAACAGAACCATCTGGATTAAACTTAAAAATAGACATCCATCAACAACCAACTATCCGTTTCCCCAATGGCAAGGGAACAAGATCCCAAGTTCCATTCTGATGTAAGGCATCCATTTCAACTTCCATAGCATTCCTCCAACTCGGATTAGACAAGGCACCCTGTAGAGTCTTAGAAATAGAGACAGTAGAAAGTTGTGTGGTAAAGTAGGAAAAATCAGGTGATAAGGCATCATGGGAAACAAAATTACCAATGGGATGTTTAGAAACACATGATCGAGTACCTTTCCTAAGAGCAATCGGTAAAGAATTAGAATTACTTGAGGTATTCGAATCAGGAGACGGCAAGGAGGGTGACAAGGGCACTTCAGCTGATGATTGTACACAACAGGAATATACACGGAGTGGAGCAGGAGATGGTTACACAATAGAGAGTGGAGTAGGTGACGGTAGGGGAAGAGGCTGCTCAGAAGACTGCCCAAAATCAAGATCCAAAGGTTGCTCTTGAGCCGAGAAATGCGAAATGTCCTCATTAAAGGTGACATTAGCACTAATAAAGTACTGACAAAGATTGGGACTATAACATCGATACCCCTTTTGTGTACGAAAGTATCCCAAGAAGACACATTTGATAGCACGAGGGTCAAGTTTATCAAACCCAGGCCCCAAGTTATGAACATAACAGACACACCCAAACACTTTAGGAGGTACGGAGAATGAAGAGGTATGAGGTACAAGAACGGAATATGGACTTTGCCCATTTAATACAGACAACGACATACGGTTATTGAGGTGACTGGCTGTAAGAACAACATCACTCCAAAAAGCAGGAGGTACATGCATTTGAAATAATAGTGCACGAGTAACTTCCAATAGATGTCGATTCTTACGCTCGGCAACCCCATTCTACTGAGAAGTATAGGCACAAGAGGTTTAATGAATAATGTCAGTCTTATGAAGATAAGAGGATAAAGGATCAGATTCATATTCTCTAACATTATCAGAACGAAGAATACAAATGTTACAACCATATTATGTTTTTATTTTTTGATGAAAAGTCTCAAATATAGAGCATAACTCATAATGGACTTTCATAAAAAATAACCAGGTCACTTGAGAAAAATCATCCACAAATGACACAAAATAAAAAAATTTATTAGATGAAATATTATTTATTGGGTCCCATACATCAAAATGAATTAAAACAAATAGACTCGAGACACGATTATTGACTTTAGGCTTTAAGGAAATACGGTGATGTTTACTAAGTTGACAGGTTTCACAAAACACAGACGATACATGACTCAGACTAGGAACTTGACACTTTAGATTCTGGAGCAAAGGATGACCAAGCCGACAGTGCCGCTCAATGGGAGATGATGAGGTCTAAAACGCTCGCGGAGATGTATCAAAATCAAAATAATAAAGACCACCAGCTTCATGTCCCGTACCAATCTTCCTCTTTGTCTGAAGATCCTAAAACACACAATAGGAAGGGAAAAAAGTTACCGAACAATTAAGATAACGAGTAATCTTGTTAATAGAAAGTAAGTTAAAGAGGAACTGGAGAACAAATAATTCTGATGACAACGACATATCAATACTCAATTGAATAGTCCTTACACCTGAAACTTTAGAAGAAGTGTCATTAGCAAGAGTAACACTATGTTGAGAATTGATAGATTGGTAAATAGAAAATACACCAGACGAACCGATCAAATAGTCAGAGGCTCTAGAATCTATGATCCAGAGACTGCGAGTAGAGGAAAATAAACAAGTGGGAACTGTACCTGACTGGCCAAATGTGACAGTAGAGGAGGATAGAACAACCTGTTGGGACATAAACTGAGCATACTCCTCGCGTGTAAGTGTAACCGACCTAAAGTCAGGTGGAGCTGGACGTGAAGTATCATCCTGATAAGAGGCCTGATTAGCAATACTTGAAAACTTGCCATGTAAATCCCAACAATAATCAACATTGTGTCCACGACCGCAATGAGTGCACAAGTGAGGACCAGATCGACCACCACGACCTCCAGTACGGCTTCCACGACCACCACGGGCGCCAAGACCACCTCAAAAATTATCATTATGGATAGTAGGAACAACAAGTGCTGAACAGTCATGAGATAAACTACGGTCAATACCAGAAGTCCTGGTAGACAATGTAACATGCTGTAAACGAGAGAAAAGCTCAAGCAAAGATGGGAGACTAGAACTGCCCAAAATCTGAGAACAACATTCATATCTTTATGCTGCTTCTGCCGCACTGCAGCATCAGTGGTAAATGGGTGGTAAACTTTTTGTTCCTCACAGACTCCCGTGACATGGGAATAATAATCTGCAATACTCAAATTGCCTTGTTCTAAACGAAAGTATTATTGACAAACCTCATAGGCATGGGTAAAATTACCTATGCCCGAATACATAATGGCCAGGTGGTCCCAAATTTCTTTAGCCGTGTCCAGATAAAGTAAAGTGGAGCTAATATTAGCCTCAATACTATTCAATAATAAAGAAATAATATGAGCATCTGCCTATTTCCACTCATCATAACTAGGCATACCTTCTTTAGGTTTAGGGTCCACTAAATATTTCTTGAGACCTTTCCCTTTCAAAAATACTTGGACTGATCGTGACTATAAAACATAATTTGTCCCATTAAACTTGATTGACGTCATAAAACCATTAAATAGAGCAGCAGTAGAAGACAAACCAGGTCGCACAGCAAGAGAAGTAACAACGGATATGTCATCGTTCTTGGATTCCACAGCCATAGGACAGTAGAACAATGTTGAATAGTGCGAAAAAGGGACTGCTCAGTGGTGAACAGTATTGGAAAATAATAATCCAAAGTTGAACAAAACAAGGAAGCTTGTTGGATCGCTGAACCGGTCAAGAAAGGTTTGCTAGACCACTGAACCGGACTGTAAAGGCTCACTGGACCGCTGAACTGGGAACAAAACCTTCATTGGACTAATAAACCGGAACAAAAACTGGATGAATCGGTCTGAACTGAAGGAAAACTGACCGAACCAGGACTGAATCGGGTCTGAACCGGTCTGGATCTGGATCTGGGTCTGGTTCAAGTCTAGGTCTGGGTCTGGATCTGATTTAAAAACCCGTAGATTTGGGCCTGTTACCCAAACCCGCAATCAACCCATGAGGGTTGTCTTCTCCACGAACTAGGGTTTCAACTAAACCCTATTCTTTGGCAGTGCTCACACCAAACGACACCACTGAGAAATCACAGCGGTCACACCATCACACCAGTCGACGGCGCCTCACACCCCAAGCAGCGGCGACACTACCATATAGACAAGGAATATCCACAATGATACCACATCACCACCACCAAGAACAACACCACGAGAAAATCAACAGAGAACCATTGAAGCCTCGACTTCACGCCGAAGCTTCACTGGTGGGAATGCGCAGAGTCGGTACAGACCCATTCAACACCCGGACTTAGTGAAGACGCAAACTGGAAAAGAAAAGAAAAGAGAAAAGAGAAGAAAAAGAAAAGATGATTAAGAAGATTAATAGGAACCTTGCTCTGATACTATGGTAAGATTAGGGAGGAGCTTAACATAATATGAGAAAGACAAAGACAAGTTTTGGCTTAACCTAACTCTCACTATTAGTCTTGTATTTATAGTCACTGAAATAAGAAATAAAATATGAGTATACCCTTTGTATGATATACATATTATAATAAACGTAAACCCTAATTACATTATAATAACTTTCTGATATATGACAACTTTGTAAAATAAAAAATAGGGACTGTTTAGGAGCTGTTCAGGGACTGTGACCAGTAATGGGGCTATAAACAGTAGCGTGAACAGTAATTTTGGTTAGGAATCACTCCTAGGGTTCCGTAGGCATCACAACCAGGATTAAAATTGCATCACACAACTCAAGAAACATGTAATTGCTCAAAATTCTGAATATCTCTCTATTCTCTTTTATTAAAAGTAACACCAACTATATATAGAGTTCTAAGTAATCCTAATCCCAAAAGATTAGGATTCCAAAGTCTCTAAAACTTCAAAGATACTAGATCCTTACAAATTAGAAAACTAAAATTAACTAGAATTAGGACTTTAAATTCTAGAATATTCAATACTAGAATTTGACCCAAAAATATGACCTATTCTAGAAATTCTAGAAATTACAAAATACCACTGACACTAAAAATATTAAAAAAATATATAAAATATTAATGCTAGCAAATTGACTTAAAATAAGAATTCAAGATTCCATATAGATCTTTGTCTTGATGGAAAGTCAATTTCATTATCTTTTACATCTTCGAATTTGTGTTTCCTTGAGCATCTTATGGACATTCCATTATCTTTCACATCAATACAAAATCGAAGATGTGAAAGATAATGGAATTGACTTTCTATCAAGACAAAGATTCATATGGAACCTTGCGTTCTTATTTTAAGTCAATTTGCTAGTATTAATATTTTATATGTCCTTTTAATATTTTTAGTGTCAGGGTATTTTTGTAATTTTCAGAATTTCTGAAATAGNCAATGCCATAGATTAGATTTGCACCTAATCTACCTCTTCCAAACCCCTTTAATGGGGACTAAATTATTGAAGTTGTGCCTAAAATTTTAGTATATATTCAAGATTTGTACACACAACGAGCACGTGTAAGCATGGGAATGCATATGTACAATCCGCCACACCACCATTTACTTGCAAGATTAGTCTGGGATGCACACACAAATGCAAATTATACAGGGTGGAGGGAATACCTGAGGGAAGACAAGGTCATCCAAGCTAAGCGCCGCTGCAGATGCAATGTTGATGGCCTCTTCTCCAGTTGTGGTGACATAAAAGGAAATTCTTCCTTGCCTTTGTGCTTCGTAGAATGCAGTGTCCATAACTTGGAGTGTGGCCATGTCAGTATACATTTTTACAGCAATATCTTCACCAACCTGATTATGTTCTTAGCCCATAAGAGTATTTCTATGTTGAATTCACATTTGGAAATACATATATGTATACGTTGTTTTTATTATCACTCTATAAGAGAATACCTCAATAGAATTGCTAGAGAAAATTTGCCGACCACTATCATCAAGAACCTGGTAGCAGTGAATTCGCTCCTCAAGGGATTGGGATATGAATCTCAAATATGGAATAAATTTAACCATTCCACCAGGATAACTAAGGACCTGACATGGCAAGGGAGCTTCACTAATTATGGATGAAAGAAATCGGACATTAAAACATCTGGAGGCATAAGGACAAAAATAAGATGATCAACTTGAATATTAGCAACACAAAATGACTCTTTTTACATCTAAAACAACCAACCCACAAATCAGCTAGTAAGACTAAAATATTAGACAAAAACAAGCAATTGAAACCAAACAAAGCTCAACAACCTAGGTCATGCGTAGACCAACCAAAGTGGCTTTTTGTCTTTCTCAATACGGTTCTTGTAGAAGTTCAGATCTCCCAAGCAAAGACCTCAGCAAGCTAAGCGGTCAATAAAATCGAAAAATTGGAAGACCACAGATGTAAATTTCACTCCCTATACCTTTATTAAGGTGATGTGTGGTCCTTCAAATACCCAAAAATAAAAAATTAGACCTGAGTTTGAGGAAATTGACTCATTAGATATTCAGGTACAGAGACATTATAATTTTTGCAGAATGAATTTCAAGTCTTTTTAATATATACATTTGAAGGGGTTTCTTGAAATCTATTATTACATGTGCATGCTATTATTTGACGTATGTATGTCGATATAGCTGGTGTGTATAGAATTTTCCAATTGCTAAAGTAATAACCACGAAATTCCTGCACAAATATTTCAATATGAGATTTTATTGCTGAATGTGATAATGAATAGATTCTCATCTTATTGAAAAAGAAACGTCTTTTTACAGAGTGTATCTGCTGTCTGTCAGTCAACTCCTAACTGTGGTCGAAGATCCCAAAGGAAGGTGATTTATGATTACAAGAGCACTAATACCTGGTTCACTTTTTAAGATGACAACTCTCAATGTTATGGATTTAAAATTGGACATTAAATGACTACAGAATGAGTTTTTTTTTCTAACAAATTTTTTTTTTTTTTGATAAGAAACAGACTACTTCATCTCACAATTCAATGAAAAATCACGAGAAATACCACATACAGAGCATGAAAGTAATTTAAGTAGCCAAAGCGTATAAAATTCGAAAACTGCAAGCTAGATGAAATGCAAGGTAGAGTTATATGCCTCAAAATAAATGCTTTAGCAAACATAGTTTTAAAGAAGTACCTGAGTGTCATCAACAACATTTTGCATAGAATCCAACTTTTTTTCGGCTTTGATTGATTCATAACGTCGAAAGGCGGAAAGGTTTGAATTTTTACTTGAAACAGAATTTGGGTTGATGAGGTTTTGAGCAACCGGAGGTGGAGAAGTAAGATGATGGATTGTGTACGAACTGCAAGAACTCTGGTTTATCGTACTTAAGGCACCCATTTTTGATTTGAGATGGCATAAAACAATTTTCGATTTTGACAAGTAGAGAGCCATGAGATGATGCAAAGCGCTTGATTACTGGGGGAAAATAAGAAGATTTCACTGTAAAATATGATCATACAGGAGGAGGAGGAGGAGGAGGAGGAGAGAGAGAGAGAGAGTATTGCACGTGGACTCTCTTGAAAAACTTTATCACCTCGATAACTAAAATATAAAACTGGTGAGCTGTACTGAAGAGATAAAGCTTCGTACGTATAATTAGGTACCTCGATATGATTCTGTGTGTATGCTTTATCAAAAAAATCAGGTACCGAGCTGCTAGAAAAGGGTAAAACAGTCTGGTTATTAGGAAAATATCATATAAGTTCTACTTTTCCTAAAATAAATTATTAAATCCTAACAAGTTTTTTTTTTTAAGATAATCAAGTTAAAATTTTTATAATTTATTTCAAGTTAGTTCAATACTCTCTTAATTATATCTTTTTTTCAACTTTCCCTCATTAAACCCTCAATTATAATTTTGTTCATAATTTTTTCATCAAACAATAATTATACTCTTGTTCATAATTTTTTTGATAAATTTTAATTTATTTAAAAATTAGAAAGTAAATATAATAATTATTTATGATTTTGTACGGTTTTTTACAATTATTTTTTACTTTTAGTTAACCTTGTGTATCAGTTTCTATTTTTGACAAACAAAAAAATTGTGGTCAATCATCCTATTAATGATATATACTATATTTAGAATAATTCTTCCAATTTTTCAATGTATTTTTTTGGACACCTATTGAAAAAGTAGAACTTAGTTGTATTACTAAAAAACTAAAATGAGCTAATGGTTTTTTGTCAAAAAAAATTGAATTTATTGGTTATTTTCTCTATTTTTTTTTAGTCTGGTAGTGAAGGGGCACAACGAGATTCTAACTCAAAACGTTTAAGATCCAACAATGAGGGTGGTAGCTATTAAACCATTCACTAACCTCAAATTATTCTGGATTTAGATACCGACTAATTCAACATTTCTGTTAATTCGATACAGATAAGACTCCCATTTAATTCTCAAATAATTGGACGATCCTATAATTCTCTTTGAACGGTAAGGATCCATCCACATTAGCACATTTGAGTCAGTGACAAATTACTCACCTTCCAATAGGAAGGTCGAGATGTAAACTTGAAAAAAAAATATCATCCTTTGAGATCACATGAATTTGTTGGCATACGAAACTACACCCAGAGCCTTTTAGCTTTGTTAGTAAAGTACACAAATCCACTCAAATATGACATATTGGATAAGCGGAATGGATCATTACTCATGATAAAACACATGGGAGTAACACACTACATAAGGGGCTAAATAGGTTAATTTTAATTTACACAAATAAACATCAATTTATAACCTAATTCTACATCAATTATCTCTTTTCAATTTAATGAAACGATTAAAGTTGAGAACCCCTTCTATCCAAGAACAACCCTATGAACCATGTTGATTGAAGTTACTGATTTGNCACCTAATCTACCTCTTCCAAACCCCTTTAATGGGGACTAAATTATTGAAGTTGTGCCTAAAATTTTAGTATATATTCAAGATTTGTACACACAACGAGCACGTGTAAGCATGGGAATGCATATGTACAATCCGCCACACCACCATTTACTTGCAAGATTAGTCTAGGATGCACACACAAATGCAAATTATACAGGGTGGAGGGAATACCTGAGGGAAGACAAGGTCATCCAATCTAAGTGCCGCTGCAGATGCAATGTTGATGGCCTCTTCTCCAGTTGTGGTGACATAAAAGGAAATTCTTCCTTGCCTTTGTGCTTCGTAGAATGCAGTGTCCATAACTTGGAGTGTGGCCATGTCAGTATACATTTTTACAGCAATATCTTCACCAACCTGATTATGTTCTTAGCCCATAAGAGTATTTCTATGTTGAATTCACATTTGGAAATACATATATGTATACGTTGTTTTTATTATCACTCTATAAGAGAATACCTCAATAGAATTGCTAGAGAAAATTTGCCGACCACTATCATCAAGAACCTGGTAGCAGTGAATTCGCTCCTCAAGGGATTGGGATATGAATCTCAAATATGGAATAAATTTAACCATTCCACCAGGATAACTAAGGACCTGACATGGCAAGGGAGCTTCACTAATTATGGATGAAAGAAATCGGACATTAAAACATCTGGAGGCATAAGGACAAAAATAAGATGATCAACTTGAATATTAGCAACACAAAATGACTCTTTTTACATCTAAAACAACCAACCCACAAATCAGCTAGTAAGACTAAAATATTAGACAAAAACAAGCAATTGAAACCAAACAAAGCTCAACAACCTAGGTCATGCGTAGACCAACCAAAGTGGCTTTTTGTCTTTCTCAATACGGTTCTTGTAGAAGTTCAGATCTCCCAAGCAAAGACCTCAGCAAGCTAAGCGGTCAATAAAATCGAAAAATTGGAAGACCACAGATGTAAATTTCACTCCCTATACCTTTATTAAAGTGATGTGTGGTCCTTCAAATACCCAAAAATAAATNGTGCTGTCATAAAATGTTTATTTGCCATCACAAAATACTTTTTGTAGCGACATTTGTGGCGGCATTGCCTTGCCATAATAACTGTGGTCTCAAAAAGTTTTTATGGCAACAACAATCTGTGTCAAATAGTATTTACGACAATAAGACCCCGTCGTAAATAAGTTGTCACAAAAAATCCGATTTACGATAGCAATGATGCCGCCACAAAAAAAATATTTTTTTTGAATTATTATATATGGTTGGTAACCAATGTTTTATACGCTGTGCATATATACACTTCTACCACATGAATTTTGATAGAATTTGAAAGTGCACGTTTGTACAATTTTTTTTTTTGGAGAGGGGAAAAGAACTTGAACTCTTAACCTCAAGAAGACAAAACTTTCACAAGGTAAAGAGTACCATTGGATCAAAGACCCATTAGTATCCGTACTACCCAGTTTAATATATAAATAAACACAAAAGTAAATACGACCAATATTTCCAAAAATATAGTAATATTTTCATATAAAAAAAAAATCTCATGAGTTAAACAAAATGTAAAATATGCACTTTTACAAAAAAATAACAATCCATGAGTACAAGAAATTAATGTAAAAAGTTGAACATCTTTCCCGAACCATCTACTCTCTCAGTGACATCTGAAAAAAAAATATTAAATTATTGTTACTATACTGAAATGATATTTATATACATATATACAATAAAGAACTAAAAGAAGTTAGAATATACATCAATAGAGGGCCACTCAATATTTCTCTAAATGGCTTGTTCAATTATGTAAATGGTATATAAACGAGTCGTATCATATATATTTCTTCTAATTAGTTTTACTAATACTTGATTCGTTTATAATCGTATCGTATCAGATCCACACGTTTACTTAACAGGTGGCTTAACGAAGACTCAAACCCACTAATTTTATGTCGTGTTAACGGGTCGTGTCATATTTTGACACTCCTAGTTTTGATATAAAAAATTGACTTTGTAAAATTTAATCTTTTTTCTTTGAATTAGAAATTGTCTTTTTATGTAAAATTACGTAATTTTACAAAATATTACTTGTAACATGAAAAATAATTGTGNATAATTTTATAAAATATTACTTGTAACATGAAAAATAGTTGTGTGATTAGCACAAAAATGTGACATTTATTATGTGCTAACATGCTTTTTATATTTGCTTTTGTCATGACATTGGGAAGAAATGTGCTTAACTANTCTTTTTGTACAAAATCACCTTCAACACGATTCACCTCATTCCCTGAGGAGACGACCTTGGAATATGATTCCAAGTAAAACACGACAAACAAAAGTCTCTCTGCGCTTGGGGAGCATTTTTGTTCATTCCACACACTCACACATCTTCATTCATTTCATCCACCATTCTGTTGCCCTTTCTTTGACATCATTCCAAGAGAGAGTGACACTCACATATACACCATAAACACATTGAGAGATGATGTTCAGAGGTTAGGATAATACAATGAAAACAATCAAGCTTTGTGGCCAATACAATTTTTTAGAGTTCTTCTTTTTTAAACTATAAACTACTTTTTAATCTAAAACAACATTTTAATGTTTTATGAAATATTATATACAACGGAAAAAATTGCTGCCATAAATATAAAAAATNTAGTCAGGTAGGAAAGGGGGACAACGAGATTCTAACTCAAAACGTTTAAGATCCAACAATGAGGGTGGTAGCTATTAAACCATTCACTAGCCTCAAATCATTCTGGATTTAGATACCGACTAATTCAACTTTTCTGTTAATTCGATACAGATAAGACTCCCATTTAATTATCAAATAATTGGACGATCCTATAATTCTCTTTGAACGGTAAGGATCCATCCACATTAGCACATTTGAGTCAGTGACAAATTCCTCACCTTCCAATAGGAAGGTCGAGATGTAAACTTGAAAAAAAAAATATCATCCTTTGAGATCACATGAATTTGTTGGCATACGAAACTACACCCAGACCCTTTTAGCTTTGTTAGTAAAGTACACAAATCCACTCAAATATGACATATTGGATAAGCGGAATGGATCATTACTCATGATAAAACACGTGGGAGTAACACACTACATAAGGGGTTAAATAGGTTAATTTTAATTTACACAAATAAACATCAATTTATAACCTAATTCTACATCAATTATCTCTTTTCAATTTAATGAAACGATTAAAGTTGAGAACCCCTTCTATCCAAGAACAACCCTATGAACCATGTTGATTGAAGTTACTGATTTCNATACAATTTTTTTTTTGATTTTATGGCACTATTTATGGTAAGAAAAATAGCTACCACAAATATTAACAAAATATTAATACAAACACATTTTTTTTGACGACAAACATAGTCGCCACAAAAAATTGTCTTAAACACGTCTTTTGTGACAACAAACACAGCCGCCGTAAAAAATTTGTCACAAAAGGCCCTTATTCTTGTAGTGCAATAATCAACCAAGCCATTATGTATGATATAAATGCTTAATCAATCAAAACATCAAACATATAGTGTTCGTGTGTGCATCAAATTTCAATTTTGAACAAATCTAACAATATAGAATAAAAATAATTTGTTGACACAGAAATCCTCCTCCAGAAAGATCGCGGGAAAATACTCGGTGTTCACCAAAGCTAATCCACTATGCCAAAGTCAATTTACTAGTACTCGAGTCTTATACCTCAACTAATACCATAGTTAGACGCTCATTTCCTTTAACAAAACTCTCTACCAGATGCACCCACTGATGTTTATGTATAACTTCACTTGAACTTCTTATCACACGGTTCGTTTAGGCCTCGAGTACACCTAGGACGCACCCAAGAATCTCGATACACACACTGTTCAATGGTTTGGTTGGGCTCCAAATCTAGATCTTCTTCTCCAAGGTATGAGGTTGAATTAGAGAATCAAGTTGGGTTTTGCCTTTGGACCATAGGGATCTAGGGTTCTTCAAGGATCTCCTAAGGTTAAAGAGACTGAAAATAAGCTTACAAAAAAGATACCATAGCTTGGGAAGACTCCCCTTATTTATAAGCTTAGAATAGAGTTAGTTTTGGAGATCAAGTAGACCAAAATTTGAGAGTGACCGCTTGAGTAGTGAGATGATTGTTTAAATGAGATAAGAAATCAAACCACAACAGTAGAGTGACCCAAAGGGTGGTCTCCATTGCCCACTCATTCAGTCTTTTCCCGATTTTATTTAGAGACTACTCTAATCAAAGACAAATGAGTAGAAGGAAGTCCCTGCTAGTTTTTAAGCTAGAAATCGAGCAAAAACTTGCCCCCTTGAGCACTAAAGGGTGTTGCTCAAGTGGGGTCTAATTAACGACTCAAATATTTGTTTTCAAACTTAATAAAGATTGAGAAAAACTTTTCTTTAAAGAATACCTAGGAGTCATTAATGGGTTAATCACCGATTCCATTTTAACCTAACCAACCTAGGTCTAAAGTTAAATAAGGATGCTAAGGACTCTAAAGTCATTACCTTTGTCATAAGCATGAATGTGACACCCCAAAATCCGGAGGTCTTTTCCCAACCCATTGTTCACCCATCAACCCATAAAAATGCCCGAGTACTGCATAACCTGATACCACGTTGTTACATCTCATTCACTAGGATCATAACCAAAATATACTTTGGGTAGAGTCCCATTTGTACGGGAGCCCTACCCAATACTTAACCTATGTATATAGTAACCAAAGAACCATTCCAACGTTCAAACCCCAATGATTAGGAGTTATTATTCCCCATTTACATCATCCAAATGAAAGAGCTCAAAAGGTGAAGGCTCGACAAAGTTATATTCAAAATTTCAGTTTTTGTGAAGAGTTATTGGTACCTCGTGTATGTGGTACTGGTACTTGAGCCTTCTATTTTTTAGGTACCGGTACCTAGGCCCACTATCTACAGGGTACCGGTACTTGTGAGCATAGGTATCGGTACTTGAGCCAACTATTTATCGGAGTACCGGTGCCTAAGGCCTAGATACCGATACTTGAACCCACTAGAATCTAAGTACTAGTACCTATAATAGGTACTAGTCATCCGACAGTGTGATACTAGTACCTATGAACCTAGGTACTAGTACATGAGCTCAGATTTTTCCTAATCCTTCCAATTTTCAATTTATCTTCATCCAAACTCATACCGCACTTGATATATTCATTCATTTACATGAAAACATTGTTCAATAAAGTCCCTTTACATACTTTATTACCAATATACAAGTTCAAAGTAAATTTNTTTGCTTTTGTCATGACATTGGGAAGAAATGTGCTTAACTATCGTTTTGATGAAGTTTTGTGTAAATGCAGGTAAAATGATGCAAATGTGATGAGTTAAACCCACATTGAAGTGGTTGAGGTCAATGAAGAGGAAGGGATAGCTTAGAGGAAGGTTTGGCGGGAGAAGAAACCAAGAAAATTTAAATTGGTTAAAAACCTTCCAGAAAGTTTTGCCTGCTGGAGTGAAACCTTTTGGAAGATTTTGTCTACTGGAATGAACCTTCTGGAAGGTTTTGCCTGTTGACTTCTTCATTTAATTGTTC